ATGGCATCTGAGACTGAAGGTCTTCAAATATAAAAAAAACATCTTCAAAGGCCTTTTGTCCTGGAACGCCACAGAACTGACTGTTTGTACTTTGCAAGAGAGCACCAAACACTGGACATTGAAAGGTGGAAGAAAGTTTTATTCTCTGATGAGAAAAAATCCAAGCAGATGCCACTTCAGATGTTTTCTATGCACCACAGTGGTGGTGACACCATAATAGTCTGGGGTGCTCTTTTTCTTCAGTGGAACAATGGAGCCTCAGGAGGTGCAGGGGTGTCAAACATAGCCCCTGGCTATGTCCAGATGTTGCAGAGAGCATCCCTGATGACTGAGGCCCTTGTCTGTGAGGTAACGACTGGACAACGCTACAGTACACAAGGGCAAGGGACTTCTTTCCGGAGAATAACATCAGTCTTTTTTGGACCATCCTACGTGATCCCCTGATCTAGATCCTCCAATTGAGAACCTTTGGGCATGGATGGCAAGGGAAGTTTAAAAGATGGACAACAATTCCAGACAGTAGATGTCCTTTGAGCGGCTGTCTTCACCACTTGGAGAAATGTTTCCACTCACCTCCTGGAAAAGCTTGCATCAAGGATTCTGCAATAAATCTTTGAAGTGATCGACAATAACAGTGCAGCTACTCATTACTGAGACCATGTTTGGAACTCTGATTTTTGTTCTTTTGATCAGCTGTTAAACAGCCTGTTTCAGTGTAAGCATTGTTTTCAATAAATTGCATGCTCAAAAAATGAATTGTCTCATTTCCATTTCTTCTTGTTGCACGTTGAAGAACATTGTTAAGACCCAACCATGCAAAATATGATTTTTTGCCATTTTTAAAGTGGTCTTAAAATTTTGATCAGGACTGTATAAATTTAAAATGCTTTTGTGTCAAAGCTCACACAGTGTTAATATCAGACCAAATTACTTCAACTGTCAATAAATATGTGTGTCAACATGTCTGCTCATATGTTGATTGAAAAGATTTTAAGTGTTCTGTTTCATGTCCATAAAGCAAACACTTGGGTTTAAGATATAATATGTAGTGTTGCAGCATGTACGTTAGATTCTCTGGCTGTGTGGGAAAAGAAAAAATATACATATTTAAAAGTATGCTGAAACCTGAACTGCTGCTTTTTTCTTCTTCTTTTTTTACAGTCACAACACCATCAACAACAACACCTACATCAACAAATGGTATGATATTTGAAATGTACAATGCTCCAGATTATCACTTGCACTGTAAAATCTAAATAAATCAAATCTCTTTTGTTGTAACAATACAGCTATTTAAATTATCTAAAAATGAATCTGTTTGCCAAGTGACTCATGTAACTGAGAGCTGGGGTAAATTTAATTGTAGATTGCTGCCAACAGAATTTTGACCATGTGGAAATTGCTTTTTTTTTTTTTTGAAATGGGAGCTTGTTGTCAACATTTTATTGTGTCCCATCATTGTGACAGGTTCATGTGATGCATTCACTCATTTTCTCCTTCACAGCACCAGTGGTCTTCTATATAGCAGTTGAATTGCACATCTCAGCAACCAATGTGCCCCCAAATATCACTGTTGTACTCAGAGACGTTATGAAAAATGTCATCTCTCCTCAAATTGAGTTTTTAACAGTAAAAGACTTGAACTTCACCACATGTAAGGACTTGATCTTATTTATGTGATTTTTGCGCTATTTTTATATAGTGCTATATGAATGAGCTTTGTTTTGTCATTCTTTTAACTGTCTTGAAAAGGGTGCTCTCCAGTCTCTACGGGAGTGCAGCAGTGTCAGTGTGAGGACCAGTTTGCTTGGTCATGTGACAAGTGTGTCGACTATGGTGCATGCAGTAATGTCACCTCAAAAACCTGTGGGTGCATCAACGGGCTTCCTCCTGGTGGAGAAATTTGTGAACCAATCTCAAGTAAGAATTTAGTAAATAATTTTTATGTGACCTGAATATGATGTATTCAAATATGTCTTTAATACATTTATTTCTGTTGGAATTCTCTGGTGTTAATTTTCTTCTTTTTTCTTGGATCTTAATTTATTCTCCACAGCTTTCAATCCATGTATAACACCAAATACAACTACATTACCATCAGTGACAACTACAACAATGCCAACACCAACAACAACAACAAAAATGCCAAACATAACAACAACAACAACAATGCCAAACACAACAACAACAACAACAACAACAACAACAACAACAACAACAACAACAACCACAACAACCACACCAGTGACACAGACATTTGAAATAACTATGGATGTTGAATTCAAGGAAGAATACAATCAAGAAACCAATGACTTTCACAAAACTGTTAGCAACACCGTAAGTCTTTGCCTTTTTTTCTTTGTTATTTAGTTTTCTCTTTTTCGCCTTCTACTAGCTATATGGAATATTTATTCCCTGTTTTTGCCACTGTCTCAAACAGATCAGCGAAGAAGGACTGAATCAAGGAATACAAGCAAAATTAATTAAATTCCGGTAACTCACAGTGTCTTTTTTTTATTACTACACAATTCCTAACAAGGTTTTTTCTTCACTCCTTTTATGGTATGGTTATTGAAACATTCCACTTGTTTTTGCAAAGTCCGTTCACAGAAACGGATTTTGCAAAAACGTTATGCAAAAGCGTTATGGGGGGAATATCATCATCCCCACCCTATGAGATTAGTTACCAACCTCCAAGAACAACTGATGTGTTGAAGGCACTGAATGAATTGAATTGAAGAAAGAAGTACACAAAAGAGTAAAGAAGTAGAACAACCTTTACATGCCTGGGGCCTTAGAAACTGCCATTTTTTATTCCAAATGCACCCTGAGATAACTTCCTCCATTATGAGTAAAGTCACCCTATCCATCTTAACCATGTGTGGCTCCACACACAAATGTGAGTTTTCTGCACAGTGAACTTAATCAAAACTAAATATCGGTCCAGGCTTGAAATAGGCAAATGAGAATGTGCCCGACTCCATTCAAGCCCAGGTTTAAAATCCTGGCAGCAAAAGCGAGAGCTTAGTTAGTAGGGAAGTTGATTAAAAGAGGGGGGAGAAAGTGAGCCCTGCTACTCTATAGTTATTAAGACTTAAGATGAGATTTATTATCTGCAAAACTGGTTGAGACTGTTTAGTCAGGATGTGAAACACAAAAGGGGAAATTTAAATTCTTTCCCAATTCATTTAATTTTTCTGAGGTTAGCCACTTAATTTGAAGGACAAAATTTTCAAATTTTATTATTTTCTTTTGTTTTAAAATGGAGCCTTACTTTAAATAAGAATGTTGTGGAATCTAAACGCAACATGGGTCCCAGTGGTAATCACAGCACCCGGGGCAGTGATTCCTAAAATGGGGAAAAGGGTCCAGCAGATCCCAGGAAAAAACATCTGACATCTATATCCAGAAGTGCGCAGTCCTAGCAACAGCAAAGATCCTGTGCATGGCCCTCAAGCTGCCAGGATCTGAGCTTGAAGGATAAAGACTGCTCGCAGGTCGAGTGAGGAATTTATATGTTCAACATTTCAGGACCTAGAGAAGGCCTTTAAGTGCAGTCCTCAGGGTGTTCTGTGGCCCATTGTTGGCCATTGTGGCTCATGAATATGGACCCATTGTTGCAAGATATCTTGCCTCACAAGCAATCATGGTTGGTTTGCATTGCCGGCAAGATGTCAAAGTCATTCCCGGCGGGTTCTGGACTTTGCAAAGGCTGCAGTTTGTCAATGATTCTGTTTATTAATTTCATCACAATTAAGACATTACTGTAAACATTTCCATCTGTTAAGTTGTAAATTAATGTGACTGAGGGAAAACTCAACATGCAGTAAAACTGTCTCTACTACTCATTCTAAAAACATATAATCTGGAAATAGTCTGACATTTAGCCTTTACCCAGTAGAGGAAAAAATTAATTGTTAATTATTTGCAATTTACTGTAATTTATTTATTTTATTTTATTTGCCATAACTAAAGGCATTTGATGTTTTTGTTATTTGAGATGAAACTTGTTTGGCCTGTGTGAGTGAATATAGCATGTGAGAACTTAAGAGTTGGCAACTCTTTTGTGGTTACGTTTTTTTTAAAGGAACTCTGTTCTCTGTTGCAGGAGTGGAAGTACCATTGCCCAATATGAAGTCAGTGGTCCCTCTTCTATTACACCAGACTTTCAGGCACTAAAGTTAAAAATATCTAACAACCTGGCAAAATTATATCCTGTAATATTTGAGGGTAAGGTAGTTTTTTACATTTATGCTTTTAAATGTTGTGAATATCTGTTGGTCCAGATATTTGTTTAGTAATTGTGCGACATTTTTGTCCTTAAAGCCTCGGGTCCCCTGACATTTTCGCCAAATGATGGATTTTATGAGCAACCAGTGACTGTAACATGTGGCCCTCAACCAGGGGATCTCAATTTTGGCACTGTCTCAGCAGCAGAGTGGAGACGTAATACGGTGCTCATATCTGAAGATGGAGAACACAGAATTTCAATTAAGGATGGAAAATCAACCTTAACTGTGTCAAGGTTTATTAGCGCTGACGATGGTAAGAAATGGGTTGGTGCATTTAATAGGAATACATTTTAATAGATTTTTTTTAATTAAAATTAAAATTCTGCATCACAGTTTTCTCTTAGTACTCAGGCCAGAGCAACAGCAAAATTCTGATTGGCTGGGTAAAATTCATCTTACAGTGCAACGCAAGCATTGTCAGTGCATCAATCAGTGTGACCTGGTTTTGAAAAGAACAAATTGCAGAGAAAGTTTCACCCAAAAATAATTATAGTGCAGTCTGTCTTAGTGTAGTAAATATACCACTACAATTATTTTATGTATTGAAGAGGTATCCAATGGTTGGGCCTAAGTCTCTCACAGAAATACAGTGCAGAAGAATTCTGCCATGTTACTGAACCACCGCAATAAACTCTGATGAGAGCAAAATGTCTGGTGCGGAAGACTCTGTATACAGTATATATGTTCAGTGCAGATAGATATATAATGTATAGGTATACATGTCATCCAAAAAATCCACAACACAGATCATACAAAAGAAATATGGTACAAAAGCCAAAAAAATGTTTTCCTTTGCTGAGCTGTTACACTTCATGTGAGCAGTATATGCATTTTAACCAGTGATTTAAGGACCACAATAGCATCTAAACAAAGGGACGTGACATTTATAGGTACACTAATATTCTGATATACAGTTTTTCCCAGTTTCTATGGCTCACTTCTCAAATAATAGTTTAGTGATGCAAAAGAGTACCGCCATTGGTTGGGGGCAGACAAACAGTTTCCCCTCTTGGGTTTGCAAGCACATTATAATGGGTGTGCAGTTTATGACAATTTGTGGCCAAACAGAGTATTCGTTTTTTTTACTGTACTATTTTATTATTAATGAGCTGATATTCTACTTTTTAGTTCTGTGCAGTCCAGTTTTTTTTCCCTCACAATACATTGTAAAGAGTCCTTTCATTTCAATACAGAATGTAATATGTTCTGCTTTTAAGCATTTAAGCTATATTTTTAAACAATCGCAGTTGGTTATTCCCAGAAAAATTAGGGTTGGATTGCTAAAAAGTAAAGTTTCAGTGTATGAGGGCGGAAAACCAGGAGTATTCCAAAAATGTTATTGTTGTTGTTATTACAAATATTTTATACCTCTTTTGTTGGTTTAATTTGAAAATTTCACTTTTAATTACAGGAGTTTATGAATGTCGGCTGATGCGCACAGATGACAAAGCATTTTTTCGTCAGAAATCTGCAACATCATTCAGTCTGAAAACAAAACCCACAATCACAGTCTCACCAATCAGACAGTATGTGCAATGTTCTGGAGGAAGTGTGGCTCTGAATTGCAGTGTGAGTCCTGGGTATGAGGTTGAGTTTCGGGACATTTCTGCAGCAGGTAAGCCTGACACAAAAACACAAAAATCAACAAAAGGCAAATCTGTTACTGAGAAACATTTTATATCACAGCATTTTCACAAAAGCATATTTAATGCAATTAATATTATTTTGTAACTTTTCGGTCTTGCTATTGTTCTGCTCTCTAGGATATTTTTAACTTACCTTTATTTTTGTTGTTTAGGCACTGGTACTTCGATTACCTATAATTATCCTACACCTCAAGGTTGTCAAGAAGGGGAAAAGACAGTCATCTGTCAGTTAAAAAACCAACCTTTATTTGCAAATGCAATAACACTACAGTTGTCCTCACAGAGTGAGTATTACTTAACAAATTCAGATATTCACAAGTATGATCATGAACATGCATTCATACATACAAAATGAAAAATACATATTAAAACTGATGATGTATTTGTTCTCTCTCTGCATAGGTGCTTACTGTACAAATGACACATTTGGCCAAGGAGATATAGGTTACAAAGCTGCAGTGCCCTGTGATCCAAAATTTGTGGGACCAAACAAGGTGGGAGAAATAACTGCAGTGTGCAAGGAAAATAGGAAATTTGACGATGTTGAATACAACTGCATCCTGTTGCCAGTTCAGGAGCTGCTTGACCAGTCCCAGGTAACCTAGCTCTCTGGTTGTTTCCAACAACAGATAAT